CCTGCCCTGCCCCGCTCCTCGGCCGGCCCTGGGCGGAGGGCAAACCAGCCCCTCCGTGGGGCGGGCCACACGTGTCTGCCACGAGCCAGGCCGGCTCCTGGTTTTTTGTTTTTTTTTTCTAACTTGTGTTCCGGGAAAACACCTTGTCCGGTCACCAGCCGGACGCCAGAAACAACATCGGCCACCTGACGGGGGTGGCCCAAAGACCCCTATGGACTTTATTGAATGGTTCGACAATAGTTCCTGTTTGGCTGGATGGGGCTTTGCAATGCAGCCCGGGCTGGCTGGGGCTGGGGCTGGGGCAGAAGGAGGGAGGGGGCCACGGCAGCCTGAAAGAGGCACCCATGTGTGGCTGCGTGCTGGGGGTTAGCACCGTGCAGCCGGTTGTCCCGTGCAGGGCGGTAGCTCCGTGCTGGGCCCGTCTCCTCCTAGCACTGCCAAGGAAGCATGGGAGGCGCTGTCAAGCTGCTCAGGAAGGCTAGGTTTTGTTTTATGAATCTGAATAAAGCATCCATTTAACTGTCATGACTCCAGGACCAATGGAGCAAGCGGTCTCTTTGGGTTATTTTGACTCTTTGTTGCCTAGACATGAAGCACGGAGGTGGTGGACGGACACACTTAGAAACCACCATCCAGGAGAGAAGGGTGCGATGGCTCGGCCGCGTCGGGAGGATGGGAGGAGACCGGATCCCCCAGACTATTTTGTACAGCGAGGTCCCAGACGGCTCTAGAAAGCACACGTACCACGACGTGGGCAAAATGGTATGAAGTTGTTCAATGTCTGATGCAGCAGGTTTCGCTGGGGAAGTTGGCTGTGGGGCAAAAGCCTGGTGCCAGTTTCACATCAGGGCAGTGGCAGCCTCGCCCTTCCGGGCTTTCGGTAACAGCTGCAGCTGCCACCAGCCCCGAGACAACGTGGGGGAGCGCCTCGGGCAGCGCCGGGGACAGTCGGGGGCATGCGGCAAGGAGGATGCTCCCGCAGAGACACGTGGCATGGCACCGAAGCAGGCCTGTCCTGCCAACACGAGGGGCAGCAGGTCAGGGAGCCCCACAGCAGACGCTGGTCCCCAGGACTGTGCAATGCCGGCGTGTTGCTTCATCAACACAATTGCAACAGCGGTGTTGTGCAATGCAGCCACAAAGCAAGGCCACAATCCTGGATCCCTGCCAGCTGGCCTTAAAGGGGACCAGGGATGCCCATGAGCCTCGTGAAGCGCTGCATCGCCCGGGGATCAGCAGCTCCGGGGGAGCAGACCCCACGCCTGGAGCTGCGCATCAGCACATGGTGGGGCACTGGCTCCCAGCTCTGCCAGCGCCTCCTTCCCCGGACCTGGCAGGTCACTTTGCTGCCAACCACAAACCAGAGGCAGCTTCTCCCCCGGCCAAGGGCAGCGAGTGCCGCAGGGACCGGTTTGACCCCGCGCCACGCTGCAAGGCCCTGGCTCGGAAGAGGCTCGGGGAGGGCAAAGGACTGCGCCGGTGGGGCACAGATCTGCTGGCCGAGCTGGCTGCAGGGGCATTCGGGGAGCCCCCAGCGCTGAGCCCAGTCGGCAGGAGAGGCCCCTCGGGCCCCCACTTACTTCTTGTTGGAGATGAAGTCGAGGGTTCGGTAGACCAGTGAGTAGAGAAATTCCACCTGCCCGGATAAAGCAACGAGCCTTAGGGCTGGGCCCTGCTGAGCCTGGCGAAGCTCCCCATGGCGCCCGCGGCTCGGCTCTGGGAGCAGGGGCCTGACACGGCCCTCGCTCCGGGCGCTCACCTTCTCGCTGTGGATGCAGGCGGAGCCCTGGATGAGCAGCGCCGCCTCGATGAAGTTCATGGTGGTTCTGCCGCCATCAAGGGAGATACAGATGGGAAGAGAGGAGCAGGGGGTGCTGGCCATGGCAGGGAGGAGCGGCACAGACACGTGGCACGAGGAGGTCCACGCACCGAGCAGCCCGGTCTGGCAGGCTGCGGCTGGAGCTCTTGGGCAGGACTCCGCACTGCAGCACTCGCGCGGCTCCCAGGACGCAGACACGCTTCCCAGCGAAGCACCAGCAGCCCATAGCCTTCTGTTCAGCTTCTTGCCCCTGTCACCCCCAGGCCCTTTTCTGCAGAGCTGCTGCCCAGCCCGTCACCCCCAGCCTGCACCGGTGCAGGGGATTGCTCCCTCCTCAGTGCAGGACTTTGCACTTGTCCTTGTTGAACCTCATGAAATTCCTTTGGATCCAATCCTCCAATTTGTCCAGGTCACTTTGCATCCTAGCCCTACCCTCCAGCATATCTACTACTCCCCACTGCTTGGCGTCATCTGCAAACTTGCTGAGGGTGCACCGCATCCCATCTTCCAGCTTGCTGATGGTTTCTGAAGCTTGCAGGTATCATGATCAGGTGGACTTGGTATAAGTGCTGAGGACAGCTGGGCCATAGACCCCAAGGGATATAGGCACCAAATTCCCACTGGGGACAAGGGGCACTAGATACCCAGATGCCCTGGACTATCTCAGCCCCAGAGGTTCCCTGAGGCTGGAAGCAACCCAGGGCTTAATTGAGTGAGAGGAAAAGTTTAAATCCAAGCATGTGAGTGAGAGCTGGAAACGCACTGAAATGCGTCATTCGAGGCCCAGCAAAGCACAACCTGTGCCCACAGGAGGTTTCCCTGGGGAAGAAACCATCCAGGATGAGAGGGAAATGACGGCAGAAATAGAAACATCTCCCTGCCTACAGCAAACGGGGAACAGGGAAAGGGGTAGCAAGGGGGAGCGATCAGCACACAGGACATGCAGGCGATTGATAAGGGAAGCTAAATGCTATTCAAGGATTTTATTCATCATCGTTAGACCATATCAAATCACGGCTGGTAAAACTAGCAGCTGATGTCAAAATTGCCGGTGGGGTAAACGATGGCTGGGGGGGGCAGCGTACGCATGGACCCGAACGGCTTCTGCCCGGGGCTCTTTTCAGTGACGTGACTCCTAGCACAGCCAAATGCAAGGTCTCCGTGCAAGGACCATGGGGACGGTGTCCTGGGGGGGCAGCCGTGCCGAAGAGGACACAGAGGGGATGGTAGGAAGCTACTGAGTGTGAGCAGCCAGGGCAAGACGGGAGCAGAAAACACAGCTTGTGTCAGCCGGGGACTAGCCAGCAGGAGCGTGTGTGTGTGCACGCGTGGGGGGTGTTAAGCTGTCACCAGCACGGGAGCCCACCCCTGCATTCCCATTTCACAGGGGCCCTTCCCAAGCGGAGCTGCTGCCTGGAGCTGTGGGTCGAGGGGCATGCTGACCCGCAGCAACGGGCAAGGAGGGTGGGTGAGAAGAAACCAGACCAAGGTTGGTGACCACGGCATTGCAGGAGCGGCTGGGGGACTCGGAGACCCCTCATCTCAGGGCAGGGGGAGCCCAGACAAAGGGTCATGCTGGAGCCCTGGAACGGAGACGGTGGAGGAACAGCGCTCACGGCATCATCCCCGTCTGGGACAGGCAGGGGGGCAGAGAAAACCCTCCGCGCTTCCCCCTCCGGCTGTCTCCTGACGCCTCTCACGCTCTCTGAACTGCTGGGGTGAGGAATAGCATGGAGGAGAGCCCGGCAGCTTGTGGGGGATGAATTGGGCTATTCATGGGAGGGGGATTTAGCCTTCAAATCCCTGAAGGGCGAAGACAGAGAGGATGGAGATGGCTGCAGGGGGCAGGACCAGGAGCAACGGCCTCCAGCTGCAGCTGGGGAAACTGAGGTCAAGCATCGGGACAGGCGCCCGGAGAAGTTCTCCATCCGTGCACCTTTTCCAGCGAGGGTTTGACAGACCCGTGGCTGGGCTGGTTCAAGCGAGGAGGATCCTGCCTTGAGCAGGGGCTGGACTAGATGTGACTTGGGGGGTCCCTTCCAGCCCGACGTCTCTGTGATTCATGGGGCGAGGGGGTGGCCAAAGCAGGGGCATACGTGGGCTTCAGAGAGAGACCAGTGAGGAGGGGCAAGGGGGGGCTGGGCACCCTGGGGAGACCTGTCCGTGGCCGGCTCGGCACAGCTGGTGTTTGCCGGCCCCAACCTCCCGGTCTCCCCACGTAGCAGCCAGGACGTCGGGGTCCCCGGGCCACGTGGCCCTGAGAGAGGCCACCAAGGCCACGGAGCCGAGCTGACCTGGTCCACCCCAGGGCTGAGCGTGTGGTGGAAGGGGAGGGCAGAGGGAGACCAGCCCCTGGTCCTGGGTGCACCGGGGCTGGAGGAGCCGCTGCGACGGCACTAAGCACCAGAAGCCCACATGTACGAATGCCCGGTTGTTCTCCAGCCCGTCCTACTTGGGCGCCCGCGGCAGTGCCAGGCCACCCGGCGCATCATGGTTAATCTGCCACGTCCACGATGAGAGGAGCCAGGTAGTCCGAGTGGCGGATGCCGAAGGTCTGCCCGCGGTGCTGGGAGTACTGCGGGGAGAAGGAGGGGCAGCACCGGTGTCATCATGCAGGTGCGTGGGGGGGACATGCCAGGGCACGGCTCTCCTGTTTTACACACCCACACATGCCTGCTGCAGCTGTGCATGCCTGCTCCCCGTAGCAAATCACGCAAGCTCATGCATTTCACGTGCATGCACACGTACACCTGCATGCACACAAACCACCCAGGCACACAAGCAGCGTGTGATCTCATCTGCTCTGTCTCTCTGCTGCAATCCTGCATGAGCTTGTGCATGTCACACATGCGTGTGCACAAGTACTCCACATGACCTCTCATCTCCTGTCCTCACCATCCATACACTCCCCTCCATCAGGGGACCTCACCCCCCCATCTTACACATGCACACACATGCACACCCACCTGAGATCTCCGATCCATCCTCCAGTAGCAGCCCTGGCTTCTCCTTTGTACCCCCACCCATCACCCTTGCACACGTGGCATCAAGCATGCAACCTGTGTCACACTCCCTGTGTCGGGGGGGTCTCCCCCAGGAGCACTCCCTCCTGCCCAGCACATGCCCAGCTCCCCTGCCTGGAGAGCCCAGGCATCCCTTTTCCCCCCTCACCTTCTCAGGGCTGTAGGTGCCCGGGCCGGGCTTCTGAGTGTTGTCACCGGGGAGCATGTTGCGAGCCAGCATGCTGAACTGGGGTGCCCGTGTCTTGTACACGTTGGAGTCCACCGCACGGTAGTTGCAGGGGCCTGGTGTCTGTGCAAGGGGGAGAGTGGAGCAGAGCTCATGTTGCACGCCACACCATGCCACGCCACGCCACGCCACCCACCCACTCTGGCCCCGCGGCTACCACTCACTTTGCACAAGTCCTCGCAGAAGCTACCGATCAGGCTGCGCCCGAGGATGGAGTAGTTGGGGGCCGAACTCTTGCCAATGACTTTGGGCCCCATCATCGGGGGGAGCCCGTAGGCAGCAGGCCCTGGGGGGACAATGGGTCAGACCTGAGTACCCCCAAGGGCAGGCAGGAGCCAGCCAGAGGGGAGGATGGAGGGGGTATTTGGGGCAAGGGGGGCTGGCATGCACCATGCCGTGCTGCCCATCCTACCTGGCGTCTGGTCATTGGAGAACTCCTTGGTGCGGGAGGCGAGGGAGTAGATGGGGGCCGTAGGAAAGGCCCATTTCCCAGCTTTCTCTGGGTAGTAGCGACCTGCAACACAGGCAGGCGGCGGTGCCGGGTTCCAGGGGTGGCCTTGCTTGCACGCGCCCCTGACAGGGCTGGGGCAGCTGGGAGCTCCCCCCACAGCCGGCTCCTGCCCCCAGCCCCACGGTGCCCCCAGCTGGGGCTGGAGCAGCCCCCCACCCCTGATCCTGCAGCCAACTCCTGCCCCACGGCCCCGCGGTGCCCCGGGGGCTGGGCTGGCGGCAGGGCTGACCTGGCCCGGGGGTGCGGAAGCTCTGCAGGTCCCTGGGGCGGCCGTGGATGGAGTAGGCGGGGGTCCCGTCCTTGCCCTTCATGGTCGTCTTGGCAGGGAGCATGTAGGCCGGCCCGGGGGAGCAGTCGTCCTCTTGCTGGAAGCGGCGCAGGCCGAAGCTGTAGGCAGGTGCCCGGAAGCGGGATGGGTCGTGGAGTTGGTAGCCTGTGGGGCCAGGAGAGACACAGCCGGTCGCGGGGCCGAGCGTGCAAAGCCCAGGGCTGACTCAAGCACAGCCCTGACTCGCGCACAGTCCCTTGGGGCGGGCAGGCGTCCTTTCCGCGAATCTCTCACCTACGTTTGTCGGGAGCCCGTATTTGGGCCCGGGGCTGCTGTAGAGCGCGGCGATGGGACCGCGGGGCCGGTGGGGCCTCCATGGGCCCACCCACACATCGGCCGACATGCTGGGTGCTCGGCACGGTCTCGGAGCTGCCAAGGGGGGGAGAAGCCGTGTTAGGAGGTGACAGCTGTTCCCCCAATGCCAGGGGCCCATTGACTGTCGGGGCCAAGCGTTCCCACGCTAGCGTCCCTCGGCTGGTGATTCCCAAGCAGGGGTCGGGGCCCCCTGGGGTGCTGCCAGGGCCTTTGAAGGGTGCTGCCAGGTGTGAGGAGATAAGCAGACAAGTGAAACTGGTGCCACTCAATTCACAAAAGTTATGGGAGGTTCTTGAGTCCAGTGTGGGGGGTCTCAAGTCTAGTGTGGGGGTCTCGAGTCCAGTGAGGGGGTGTCTTGAGTCCAGCGTGGGGTGTCTTGTCCCACTGTGGGGAGCCCCGAGTCTGGTGTGGGGTGTCTCAAGTCTAGTGAGGGGGATCTCAAGTCCAGGGTGGGGTGTCTTGAGTCAGTGTGGGTGCCCCGAGTCTAGTGCGGGGTGTCTCAAGTCTAGGGTGGGGGCCTTGAGTCCAGCGAGGGGTGGGCGGCAGTGCCCAGGCCCCGCTCACAGACAGGGGCAGTAGCAGCGGGTGCACCCCACCAGCGCTGGCCGGGGCCGGAGCACCCCTCGCTCTCGGGGAGCAGAGGGTCCTGCCCGCGGGGCTTCCCCCAGCCCCATGGCCTTGGGTCTCAGCCCGGAGGGGGTTCCTTGGGAAGTTGGGCAAACTGGCTGAGCTGGGTCTGAGGCCGGCCCCCCGGCCACCAGCAGTGCCCAACGGGGCTGCAGAGCTGGGAGGTGAAAGCCCCTTTGTGACCTCAGCCGGGCGCGGCCCCACCAAACCCTCCGGCTAGGCAGGATGGG